TCCTTGAGTCACTAGGAAGAAGACTGTCCATTCACTGTTGTCTGCCTCTGGGCAATGAATACAGGCCACTTCCAAACAATTAGAAATGTGGTTTTCTTTTCCCTGGGGAGGTTTCTGTTTCAATTCTCAGACCTGTGTCCCTGCCCACGGAGGTGCTGGGAGAGCAGCATCTGCCACCTCAGCAAGCAGCCCCTGTACATGAACTAAAAGCCAAACTGCCTGCATTTATTTCAGTGGAATGACATTGGTAGAAAACTGAGTTACAAACAAGAAGTGGATTTTTTCTGCTGGTCTCAGGGATGGATGGGCCTGAAGAAACAATTGCCTCTGTCTCATAGAGATGGTCCTACCAGCTTGCATAGCCTTACTGGGGAAGATGAGGAGGTAGGGAGAGAGGGCTGAATAAAATGTTGTTGCTGACTTTAGGCTACAGCCCCATCTTTTGCAAGCTCTGTAATTCCACAATGCAAAAATAAAGGGCAGGCGAATTTTCTTCCCCACTTCATATCACTTCCTAAGTGATTCAGGAGAGGCTGAATTATTGGACCTACCAAGAAAATTCAATTTTGCGGAACTCTTTAGCAAATCTGGGCATCTCCTGACCTTGTCTCTCTCCCTCTTCCCTTTAATTTTCTTTTGATTATTTTCTTTTCCCTCTACTCTTTCTCTATATCCTAATTCTGCTTTTCCACCCACTCCTTTTCTATATCTGAATTCTGCCTCAGCCATACTCTTTTTTACTGAAAAATCAGAATTTTTTTTCAGCTCTCATCACCTCTTTTATTTTTTTTTTCATTATTTTGCCATTCTCTGCTCTTCAGTAAAATACTCTGAAACTTGTGGAACCTATATTGAGGTCTTTTGTTTCATACTCATGTGCTGTGCAAGGTATCTGGCAACTTTTTGTTCTAATGGAGCATGGGATCAATTTTGAAGTAGGATCAAGATGCTAAATGTCTTATCCAATCAAGTTTCACACACCTGCAAGGATGGAGATTCAGCAACCTCTGGGCACTTGACCAGTCTCACTGTATAACACTTTTCTGGCTAGAAAATTTGTTTCATGGTTAGGAAGCACTTTCCTACTTGAACAATACATTTCTATTCAAGGCTAGATTAGTCCCATCAGTTTGTTGGCACCCTCTCTGGTAGTTACACTGCTAATAAGAAGCAGTCTTGGTCCCCTCTGAGGCTTTCTTTCACCAGACTAAACACAGTATCCACTTCCTACTTCCTTTCCAGCACAAAGCCCTCCATCCCTCTGACCACTATTGGCACCCTTCAGTTAAAGTTCATGTTTGAAAGTTCATTGCTCTATGTTTGACATAGAGCAATCAGAAGCATATGCAAAATTGAAGTGAAATCTCACAAATGTCTTTGAATTAGAGCAGTAAGATTCTCCCTTTTCTGCTGGATGTATCTCACCAGACTGCTCTAAGTTCACCCTAGCAGCACACCTGCCACAGACACCAGCATCCATCCCTTCCACAGTTATTTCCTTACAGCAAACTTGCTGCCATTACAGCACCAGCTCATGAGATCCTTCCTCACTATCTGCTTATTAACACTCAGCAGTGCTCTGTCTCTTTTTGCAGCTCCCTGCACACCTAATCCCTGTTTCTCCCTGCTCCCTCCTCACTCCATCCCACAAGATTCCATGAAGAGGCTTAACTGAAATTCCCAGGATAGAAACATGTTTTCTTTGTGTAGGAAATAGTTTCTCAATGAGTGTATTGGGGTGACACAATCCAACATTGCAAAGTCATGTTTCATTTTATCCACCTCCCAACCTCTACTTGCCTTTCATTCAAAGTTTTCCTGAGAGCTTTGCGTACTATTGCAGCCAACCACTTAAGACTGCCTGGGTCACCTCCTCTCTCCACATTTTTAACTAAAGGGTCTGAGTTTGCTTTTCTTCCTATGTGTGTTATGGTCCTTACCTAAGAGGTCTGAAACTAGGAATACTTGCTACCAGACCTGTGCTTCCATGTACCAGTCCCTGTCAAATTCAGAGGCACACTTTGCCTCACAATAATCCGGGAGTTTTCTGGAAAAAAAAATAAAATTATACATTCTCTGCATCTTGAACAACAGAAGTGTCAGAAGGATAATCACAGAACCACAGAATCAGCTGAGTTGGAAGGGACCCACAGGGCTCACCAAGTTCAAATCCTGGCCCTGCACAGCACCATCCTCAAGAATCACACCATGTGCCCATGAGTATTGTTCAAACACTTCTTGAGCTCTGACAGATTGATGTTGTGACCACTTCCCTGGGGACCTGTTCCAATGCCCAACCATCCACTGGGGGAAGAACATTTCCCTGGTATCCAACCAAAACCTCCCCTGACACTACTTTAGGCCATTCCTTGCTGCTGGTCACCACAGAGAAGAGACCAGCATCTGCCCCTCCTCTTCCCCTCAGGAGGAAGCTGTAACTGCAATGAGGTCTCCCCTCAGTCT